CATTTTGCACTTACCTGTAACTGGTTTTTTTTTAATAGTTTATTTTAAATTTTCCAACTTTTACATGTAGTCATGTTACAACCTTCCACAGCCTGCAGTTCAGCGTCTTAACCACTTGAGCCACCGCAGCTCCTTATCTTTGGGTAGCATCTCCATATAAGAAGCCATCTTCTCCCACAGGAATAGCTGATAGCACCATAGTTAGCAGTACGCAGACTGAGTGCTGCAGCAGAGTAGACTTTTCAGCTGGGAGCACCAATTTTTTGTCCTTTTGAGCCCTGCGTTGGCTCAAGTGGTTAAGTTGCTGAACTGCAGGCTGTGGAAGGGCAGTAGTTCAGCAGTTTGAGACCCGGGTTGCCGCATGACGGCGTGAGCTCCCGTCTCTAGTTCCAGCTCCTGCCAACCTAGCAGTTCGAAAGCAAGAAATTGCAAGTAGATAAATAGGTACCACTTCGGTGGGAAGGTAACAGCGTTCCGTGCGCCTTGGTGTTTAGTCATGCCGGCCACATGACCACGGAAACATCTTCGGACAGCGCTGGCTCTTCGGCTTTGAAACGGAGATGAGCACCGCAACCCCAGAGTCGGATTCGACTGGCTTTCAAGCAAGGGAACCTTTACCTTTATCCGCAGGTAATGAGTGTGTGCCTGTACACTGTCTTGCCTGCACCTCTTCTGCTATAGGAGATGAGACTGAAGGGTGAGAGAATAAGGAATGTCCTTCCTGTTGCACCCTATATAAATTTTCCACTTTTCTCGATGCAGCAGGTATGCTGGCTGGTTTTTGTCAAAGAGTTTTAGAGATGTCATCAATACCTACTAGAATAGGGAAGGCAATTATACCAGATGCCTCTGTGTAGAGCTTGCCCAAAATCTCATCATGAGGTGTGGGGTTGTTTGAAGTCACCTCTATTTGTAATAATTTCGCCATTCTCATCATCTGCTCCGTATAGAGCATTAGATCCTCACTGGGCAAGACTGGGTCAGGGTCCCCTACTGCATCTTCCAGGGAAGGATCTGATGGCAAGTCAGAGCCTGGACCGAAGGGGGAGTCAGCCCCTAAGATCTGATCGTCCTCTGAATCCAAACACCCCACGGGGTGCTGGAGAGTAGTAGTCGAAGAATACCAGATAGGTGGACCCACAGCTTCATGGCTCCATGGTTGGGAATACTTTGGTTCTGGAGGCGTATTTCTTGATTGCCATTCACTCATCTTGTGGTCTGGGTGAGGGGAAATAATAGGGGTAACCCTGCCATGGAAGTGGTGGTAGAGTGCTGCAACAGTGCTGTTGAGGATGGTTACAATGAGAAAGCCTATCGGAACCGTAGCTACACCTTGGCCCTGTTCAATTTCTCCCTTCGAGATCAACTGTGTTGGGGAGGCATGTGGGGAAAGGTGTCCGTGTCAGGGGGATCTCCTTTTGTTCCACTGGTACCAAAGTTGCCCTGAGTGAAACCAAACAGCCTGGCTATGTAGATGTTTTGGAACTAGACCGATGTTTGTGCTTCATCTTCGTCCAAGCCTTCTAGGCGGGGGTTCCGAAGAACAGCATTCCACAGAGCGATCAGGCCTGACACTTTGGTTCGGTCCCCAAATCCAAGGCACTCAAAGTCAGGCTTGCAAGTTATTCAGTTCTGGCTGGATACTTAGAAGGCAAGGACTTAGTCTGCTCTGCCAGGGCAAGTGTTTTTGCTGCTGGTCTATTCGAGCATGAGAGTGGTTTCCCCCATAAATTCGCTTTCAGCCACACTGCCTGATCTGAACAGGCCTTGGGTATAAACTGGAGGCAGATTTTGCATGCAGTCGTGTTATGGGTTTCACCCAAGGAAAAGAGGCAAAGTAAATGTTTGTCCAAGTGAGTCATTTTAGTACCACATTAGGTGCATTTCTTAAATAAAGCCTTCTGCGACATTGTCTAACTGCGCAAAGGCTCCAAAGAGCAAGAACTCTCGAGAGAACTTGCAATCAAGTAGCTGCAAGAAAGAACGTCCTCACAATGCGTTGGCTCAGGAGGACTGAGGGATAAGGGGGAGCTTCACCCTGCAGAGCATGTAGCCATTGGGTGGGGAAACGGCCTCTAGGAACTCTGCAGGGGTGGGGCTCCCCCCTATATGTTAAAATTCTAAACCAGCTGTAAGAGAGCCTCTGGTGGCTGGCCTGCGCAAGCACAGTCCCAATGTCGGACTGCACAGAAGACTGAAGACGAAATGCAGGTTTCGCACAGTGAATTACATTATACCATTAATCAAGGAAGCTAAAGCAGCTAAATTATGCTCTTGAATGGGCACTGGGACAAACATCTTCTTCCACTTACCAGGTTTTACATGGGAATTCCTCCGGCTAAAGTTTGGAAAGGAACGCTCCCTGGTGCAAGCTGAACATACCCTGAAGGTTGGGTTAGGATCAGATGAACCAATCTTGATTGATAAACATGCAGACATTTTACCTACATCTCATGGGAACAGAAATCACATTCACCACTGCTGATGTGACCACAACCGTTCTTCCTGGTTTGCTCACAGCATGCTTTCTTGCTGTCATTCCCTCATCAGTCGGTCATTCCTTACCGCTTTCATTTGCTTGCCTGTGGCCACTGCTTCTCCCCCCCCCCCTCGCCTGCCTGGGTGTCACTCTTACTGCCTTCCTTATTGCCCCCTCTCCTGGTGACAGCTTCAGCCACCTGCAATGTTTGTAGAGTTCTGAAGAAAACCTCAAAATGGAAGTAGAGATGATTTCCTCTAATAAGTTGAAGTTTTGTTCTTGGGTTGTTTTTTTAAAGAAAACACTTCATTTTTTCCATTCTAAGAATTTCCTGCAGATTTAGGAGCTCCCTCTGGTCTGTTACACACACACACATTGGCAGCTGAACATGGCCCCACTTTGCAGAATTACTGATCCACATTCTGGGGTCATGCTCAGAATTGGGAATACTGACATGGGGGTGACATGGACCCACCCCAGGGATGGGGCTGAGGAAATTTGCATCCTGGGCTTTTGGGGGATTCTGTCCTATTATACATGAAAACAAAAGGTTGGATGCCAGAAGTGAAAATTCTGTTCATTTGTTCGCTGCTCCGCTACCCTACTAATTTGGCTGCTCTGAGTGAATTGAGCTGCGTGTAGTCCATGTTGCAAGAGATTCTCCAAGGGCACAACTTCAGATGCGTGCCGGCACTGCCCCCTGCAATCACACCTGTGTCAGTATGAGGGTCAGTGCACCCTTCCTTCAGTTGCTACCCACAACCCCTGCTATTGCACTGAACACTAGAGTGTTACAGTGTGTAGGTGTTGAGTGCCTGACTGTGGCTTTCTATCAGAGTTCAGAGCCTGTAAATAAAGATACCGTAGTTAATCTTCAATTATCCCATTCACTCCCCCCCCCCCACAGTCATGATTCTTCCCGCCCACCACCACCTTCCTTATCCCGTGTCTGACTTCTGCCTCTTGGCTCTTCTGATTGCTCTGCCTCTTCTTCCTTCTCTTGAGGGCTGTGGCAGCTCAGCGTAGAGGAGCCATGGGGCCTGCTAGGCCTTACCAGGCAATGAGGGCCGTCCAAGCAATCCCCCCCCCCCCCCCCCGTGCATTACAACACCAACCCCAGGATATGACATCTCTCCTTCTATATAATTGAGTAGTGGGGTTGCTCTTTCTGAACATTCCACATGCCTCTAAATCAGTTGGCTCCACAATGCGTCACTCGGAAGCTGTCCCTATTCACTGGCAGCGTTGCCTGAGTCCCACCCACAGAGGCGGCACCCACCAAAATTTTCCTCAAAAGACGGTTGCTTCGCTCTGGTGAGCACAGCTACTGTCTTCACTCTCCTCACCAGATGACGATTGATTCCCTCAGGGGACAAAACCCACTGTCTTTAGCCTCCAAGCCAAGTTTGCTGAGGCAACACTTTCCAAAACAGAAAAAAAAACCCGTCAAGTAAACAGCTGTCAGCGTGGCAGTGGTAGAGGAGCGGACCAGCCCAAGTTATCACAAAAAAAGCGAGAGGATACACACACAAGCAGAGATAGAGGATGGGACCAGACACACAGAAAACAGGAAGCCAAAAACCCGAGGCATGCTGCAAAGCAGAAATACAGTCACAGACAACGTAGGCACGCACAAACAGGAAGAGTGCAGAAACCACTGGATGAAGTGGAGAATGACAATACATTAAAAAATACAGAGAGTGTGGGACACTGGGATAAACCCTGCGAGCGGGGGGAACCTTTAACCACACCCAGAGTGTGAAAACCAATTACAAAGAGAGAGGCAAACCGACAGAGGCAGATAAAGACATCCAGATACATATTTAAAGTGAAAAAAAGACGGAAAAAAAAGGAACCCAGGTCAGAGCTTGTCTTCCTGTAGAAATTATAACCAGGCGTTGTTCCTCACTTTTGTGGTCTTGATTTAGCCTTGGCCAAGGAGGGAAACAGGCAGACAGATATACATAGACAAACGTTCAAAGGAGAAGAAACGTGGCAATAAACAAGACACACACTACATGCGACAAATCCAATTAAGTGTGCAAAAAACAAAAAATTAGAACACACTTTGACCAGATCAGAGGAAGGAGATGTTTAGACAAAAAACCCCAATGTCTCATATTTGCAAAATGCATCCTCACTGGCTAACGTATACTGTTAACATGTACTTAACCTGCTTCCAGCAGATGCATTCATTACACATCACATCTTTCTAGAGCTCGTTGTATTGCTTTTACAATGAGCTTTACTGCTAGTCATGTATAAATGCAGACTCTGCTGCAATGCGCAGAATTAAGCATTCTGAAAACTACAGGTGTTTGTTTTCTGGAAACCAGTTCCTACTCTAAATGATGAGGCCAGATGAAATCATGTCAGATTGTTCCCATCAGCCACATAACGGACGGGAACGACGTGTGGGCTGGAAATGGCTGGAACTACATCAGAAACACATCTATTTATTGGGCTAAACTGCAGAAGGAAGGTGGTTAAAGGAAAGCTTGAAGCAATCTCTTAAGATCGGACTTGTATTTATTAAAAGGAATTCTGGACACAAATATGATCCAGAATAAAAAGCATCTGAACACGGGAAAAAGGCAAAGGCCAACACAAAGGTCCCTCGGATCCCTGCTTTGCAAGGGACACTTCAGTGGCACAAGCCTGCCAGAGAAAAGCAGTTTCCATATTAGGAAGGCTTGCATTGCGCCTCTTCGCTAACCGGCAAAACCTTTCAAAAAGTTGCCACTGAGAAGAAACAGTCTCGGGGAAGCCAACTTGGCCCAGCACTCTTGGCCCTTGGCTGGTTCTCATCCGGGATCGGGGGAGGCACTTGAGGAGCCCTTGGAAGTCTGGAGAGGGCTCGAGAGCAGCGGCTGCCTCCTCCTCTTCGGTCTCCCACTCCAGGGCGTCAACTCCAACATACTCTTCTTTCTAAAAGGGTGCTCTGAATACTCAAATTAGCACCCATTTCACTTTCCCCCTGCTTATTCTGCTATGTGGCTGCAAACGCAGGAGGACAGAAGGAAGCATGAAACTTACTACTGTTCCCAAGAGGCACCTGCCGAAAGTTCTGTGCATTTGGTTCTAAGCACAAAGGCTGCCCAGACCCAGTGTGGTGGTCAGGCCCCTTGTTTCAGGCAACAGTCTCACAAAGCAGCAGCAATGGGCCACAACAGCGTGTCACGCAGTAAACAGACATCCCTGTCCCTCGACAGACCTGCTACAACATCAAACCTAATCAAATAGGCAGGTGCTTCTGACCCAAGACATCCACTCATCTCCCCCAAGTGCTGCAGCACAGCACCAAGATGAGCCTGAGGACCTAACTGCACAAGCCCAGAACAAGTCACCAGAGCTCAGCTCCAGGGCTCTTCCCTGCAGACTTGGGCTGGCAGCTGCCTGGCACATCCTCTTCCAGCAGCGTTCCAAGGTCAGGAAACAGAACAGACGGTGCTGCTTTTCTGGTCCTTTAGAGCCCGCTTTTTCTGAAGCTCCCTTGTGATCCGTCTCCTGATGCCAATCAAATACAGCTCTCGGTCAAACTGACCTGCAGCAAGGGGGATGCTGTAAAATAGAGGAGTGAAGTTAAATTAATGGAACTCAGCTACAGTCGAAGTGCAAAAAGAAACACCAGGCAAACTAGATGATCTAACATTAAAAAAACAACAACAACTTTTTACAAAGAGGAGTTAAAGCCGAGCTTTGGAACGTGAAGACTGCATTTTGTTATCATGACTGACCACCATTGACAGAATGTGTGTCACTCCTTTTAGAACCATCACCACATTCTGTAGCAGTGAATTCTGTCAATTAATTATGCAGAATATTAAGAAGTACTCTCATCTCTCCTGAACCTAAAGCTTGTCCATTTCACTGAGGCTCAGCATTGGATACCTTCAAGTTCTAATATTTTGGAAGAAGGAGAAAAATGTCTCTTTGCCAACTCTCTCCACCCCGTGCGTGATTTTATAAACCTCTATCATGACCTTTTAGTCATCTCTTTTCTACACTGAAAAGTCCCAGCAGACTCTCCAGCCTTCACTCACAGAGAAGGTTGCCTTCTTCTGCACATTTCCCAGCTCTGCAATGTCCTTTCTGTGATACGGTGACCAGAATATTGTCCTCCGTATCCAAATGAGGCTGCACCACAGATGTATACAGGGGCATTATAATATAGGCTGTTTTATGTTCAGTCCCTTTCCTAATAATCCCTAACACAGACTTTGCCCTTTCCACCACCGCAGCTCACTCTGGGTGGACACGTTCCTGACCCCAAGCTCTTTTCCTCTCTCAGTCTCAGCAAGTTCAGACCACATCAGCCTGGACTTGAGGCTGGGAATCTTTTGTCCCGATGTGCCTCACCTGACACTGAACCAGCACTGAACTTCTTTTGCCACACTTGTTGCCCCCTCCCCCAGTTTGTGGAGATCCTCCTGGAGGTCCTCTTCAGTGTCATCCTTGGTTTTTACCATCCTGAATAATTTTGTGTCAACTGCAAATCTGGCCACAATTCTTCTCACTTCTCATGTTCCAGATCATTTATGAATAAATTAAATAGTATTGACCAATGCTCCCTCTAAGCTATGGAGCCCTGTGAGCAAAAATTCTACTCCGTGAGCTACTGGCATTAAAATTGTGAAAGGGGGGGGGGGTTGGCTCCTGCATAAATTAGTTTGCTCTGGAGCCCTCCTTCCTGAGCTAAGACAAAAATGTGTGAGCCAGAGGCTGAAAAACTGTGAGCTAGCTCACACTAACTCAGCTGAGGGGGAACACTGCCTACAGGATGATTCTCACCTGGGCTGTTGATATATTCTCATGAGGAGCAAAAGCTGGTGCACTGCCCTCCAGGAACTGATGAGCAGGACCTCCACTGCCTGGTACGAGTACACTTTCCATACAAGCGATAGAAGCAACATGACTTGCAAGTGTCAAGACTGACCGAAGCTACATCCCATCTCCACCCCTTAGCTATTAAAACATTTACATCCAGCCTTTCCTCTTATCTGAAATACCAGATTGTTCACCAGACTCCATGTACCCATTAGTGGCCTATCAAAGCCTATTACGCTCTAAGATCCCAGATGTCCTGCTACTAGGTACACCATTAAATGTGGTACTGACTTGTCCCTTCCAGGTCTCACTTTGACACGAAACAACCCATAAACAGGCCGGTGGTCTGATGTTTTCATCCCAAGGCAGGAAGAATATTTTACAGCATGAATGTCGCCCTTATTACGGCATCGGAATATCACTCGATCCTGAGAAGATGAAGGGGAAAGAGAGAGTGAGAAATGCAGAAATCAACACGAGGAGGAAGGGCCTCTCTTGCTCCCGGGAGGAGAACATGAAGAGGTGGGTGACTCTTCCCACCCATGCTGAGAAGGCAGGACCGGAATCGCTCAGGACAGAAGCTGTTCGCTCTCCTTATCCTGTTCTCTTAGCCCAGGTAGCTGGAAGTGATGTATGTGGTGCCATTTTTTTAATGCTTACGTGTGTTCTGTTTTTTTAAAAAGGAGACAAGCCAAGCTCTCAGTGGGCCAAGGATGGAGCAAACACTTAGCCATCCTGCAAGAGCACAGTCACGGTGCCTGTTCCGCCTCCCCAGACAAGGCAGTGTGCCTTTCGCAGTGTCAGCCTGAGCGGCAAGGGCCAGTGCAGTCTGTAGCCCCACTTGTCTGAGGCTTGCAGGCTCCAGTAGTCTTTGCTTTGCAGGGGGAGACATTATGTCCTCAGGCAGGTTGTAGACTTCAAGCAGTGGGAGGTTATCTCAGGACCCAGGTGGGTGATGAGGGGGAAACACCATTGGTGAGCTCCAACGCAAGACCACTCAGCAATTTTAAGTGGCTCTCTAGGCCTAGGCTAGAGATCTCGATGGCCCAGATGCTCACCCTTCTCTTTGTAACCCTCAACGGTCCACACACCCTCTTCATGCCCCAGTCCTGCTGAGGATGGGCAGTCACCTTGGCATTTTATAGATGGGTTAAGCAGAGATGCTAGAAGCCTCTGGAAGTTCTGCCTCCTCTAGGTGGATGAGAAGAGTCACTCCTCTAAGAATGTCCTCCATGTCCACAGGCAGAAAGAACCTTTGGGGAGAAGTCCAGCATCCCCTCCCCACCTTCCGAAGACGCAGAGGCTGTTCTGCTGTGGGGGGGTCATCCCACCTGCAGGCCCTTACTGTGTATGAAGGGGTCCTCTGCTTGGAAGTAGTGTCATAGGTGTCCCGGCCAACGTCAAACTTGTAGGAAGGACGGAAACTGATGGGAGCCTCTTGGAACCCCTTGAAAATAGACCCTAAGGAAGCAGAGGACACGAAGGGTCACAAAACTTCACCACGCTGGGGGGGACAGGCATGTGCCCAGGCTCCAGTTACGGACAAGGCAGAGAAAGACAAGAAAAGGCAGGGAAGGTTGTTGTTGTTGTTGTTATTAATATTTACTAAATTTCTGAATTGCCCCAGAGTTCACAGGGCGATTTACAATAAATTAATATACAAAAATACAGTTTAAAATCAACAAATCAGTTCATCCCAAAGTTTCACAGTCTTTAATCTAAAACCTGCTCTGGGCTGTTCTTCCATCTCACGGGCAGGTTAAGGAAGAGGCTGAAGCGGGCAAGATGGAAGAAGAAAAAAGGAAAAGGGTTAGGGTGCCCCCCAGCCATGCCGGAAACCGCCGCTGTCCTCAACCAAAAGCCCGTCACAGAACGTCTCTGCCTTACGGGCCCTGCGGGAAAACATAAGCCAAGAATGCTGCTTGGAGGTGATGTATATTCCCTGCTGAATCCCTAGGACCTGACAGACGGCTTCGATGCGAGCAAAGACATCCGCCCTCCCACCCATGAGAAGAAGTGAAATGTCTTGTTCACCATCGGTGCAGGAAGGTGTATTCGAGATGGGCTGTATCTCCCACGTGTTCCACAACCAGGGCTTTATGCAGACCCTCCAGTCCATGCCCTGCCAGCTCCACGGCTCTCTCCTCATCAGTGTTCCCTCTAAGCTGAGTCAGTGTGAGCTAGCTCGCAGTCTTTTAGCCTTCGGCTCACACATTTTTCTCTCAGCTCAGGAAGGGATGGCTCCAGAGCAAACTAATTCAGGCAGGAGCCAAATCGCTCGCTCACAACTTGAATGCCAGTAGCTCACAAAGTAGAATTTTTGCTCACAAGACTCCACAGCTTAGAGGGAGCATTGCTCCTCATTAAGCTTAATTATGCTGAAACATTAAGAGCAGATGAGTCACAGGCACTACTCTCCATGGCTGGGGGGGTGTTAGAGGATCTACTGCCTCCATCAAGTATCTTGTGGTAAACGCCCAGGGGAAACTTAAGTCATGGTAAGATATTAAAGATGAAGGAATCAATATCCAATGGGTTCTATATTACCAATCAGCTTCAATATTAAAGAAGACAATTAACATGGAAGGTGGAGCGCTAAAAGAAATGACTGAATTTGAACAACTGATTATAAAACAAAAAGATCATCTATTACGTTGGATATATAAGTTATTACTCCAGCTAGAAACATTAAAAGAACAAGTGAAAAAAATGTATGATTAAATGGAGGCAGAATTTTAGAGAGCAGATACCTATGCACCAATGGGAAAGGTTATGGGAAAAGGAATTTAAGTTCACAACCACTCAGGCATTGAGAGAAAATCGAAGTAAAATGTTTTTCAGGTGGTAAAAAGCAAAAAGATACTGGATGGAAATACGTGGCAAAATGCAGACTATATTAAAATTCAAATTTCCTATGGAAGCTAAAAATGTTACTAGGAATATTGCCCAACAAATTAACGAAAAGTTTTGGAAGAAATATTTAAATATATGGTGACAGCGGCTAGCAAGATGGAAATCAGACGTCTGTTCAAGCTTAGAAGAATGGGAAAACAAACTTGCAAATTATCCACATCTACATGCGCCCCGTTGCCCACCTAGTCCGTGGGTATGGACTGGATTGTCATCAGTATGCTGATGACACCCAGCTCTATCTGGGCAAAATCTTCCTGAAATGGAGACCAAACCACCAGTGGCAGCAGTAGAGGCGGCAGGGTTTCCAGAGCAGGCAGTGCTGGGCTGAAGCAGCCTCAGTGCTATTGCCAAACACTCTGGCCTTGGGACTGTGGATGCCTGAACAAGTACATTTGGAACTGATTGGAGAACTGTACTCAGAGAGTAGCTGTCAATGGCATTTCATCTGAATGGAGGGAGGTGTCCAGTGGGGTGCCACAGGGCTCGGTTCTGAGCCCGGTACTTTTCAACATTTTAACAAATTATCTGGATGAGGGTGTGGAGGGGACACTCATTAAATTTGCAGATGACACCAAATTGGGAGGAGCAGCAAACGCACCAGAAGATAAAAACAGAATTCAACAAGATCTGAACATGCTGGAAAAGTGGGTGGATGTGAACAAGATCAATATAACAAGGAGACATGCCGAGTTCTACATCTGGGTAACAAAAATGAGGAACATGCATACTGGATGGGGGATGCACTTCTGAGTAGCAGTGTGTGTGAACAAGATCTTGGGATAAGGGTGGACCGAAAGTTAAATATGAGCAGTCAGTGTGACGCAGTGACAAAAACGGTAATGCAATCTTGGGGTGTATCAACAGAGGCATAACATCCAAATCACAAGATGTCATCGTCCCGCTGCACACTGCATTAGTCAGGCCACACCTGGAGTACTGTGTGCAGTTCTGGAGGCCCCACTTCAAAATGGATATGGAGAGAATGGAGCAGAGGAGGACAGAGAAGAGTGACAAGGATGATCGGGGGCCTGGAGACCAAGCCCTAGGAGGAAAGGCTGAGGGACTTGGGAATGTTCAGTCTGGAGAAGAGGAGGTTGAAGGGGGATGTGGTTGTCTCTGGAAGTATCTTAAGGGGAGGGAGCTGTTCCTGTGGGCAGCAGAGGATAGGACTCACAGTAATGGGTTTTAATTAAGGGCAGGAAGGTACCGGCTGGATATTAGGAAAATCTTTTTTTACAGCAGGAGTTGTGCCACAGTGGAATCAGCTGCCTCGGGAGGTGGTGAGCTCCCCCCCACTGGCAGTCTTTAAGCAGCAGCTGGACAAACCCTTGTCAGGGATGCTCTAGGCTGATCCTGCATTGAGCAGGGGGGTTGGACTAGATGGCCTCTATGGACCCTTCCAGCTCTGTGATTCTATGATTCTAAGCGACCCCATTTCTCTTTATGAGACCGTAACAAGGTCCTCTGAAAATTACACAGGGCCCCAACTGAACCCCTCCAACTGATGCTGCCCATCAAAGAGAAAGACGTGGAAAAAACTGTATGATTGGTACAATATAAATGCATAGCTTAAAGTAATGAAATTTTTGGTATTATTAATCTTTTTAAGTTAAATAGAAACTATGGTAATGAAAAGATAAGAGTATACAGAAACTTAAGCAAATTTATAGAAATTCTTTAAATATGGTAATAGAGTTATAAGAAAATATATTGATCTCTTTGTATGTTTTATGTGGGTAAGTGGATGTTTGTTATGTAGTATGTTTGTTTGTTGGTGTATAATATGAAAAATAATAAAAGTGTACCTTATGGGTACTTAAAAAAAAAAAGATACTTTCCTAGTAGCTATCACACAAGTCAGGAGGGCATCTGAACTTTCTGCTCTCTCCATCAGATAGGAGCTCTGTCCCTTCTGGCAGAATTCCATGGTTCGCAGGACCGATTCCTCCTTCATCCCAAAGGTGAATTCTGAGGTCCACCTGCTATCCTCCTGCCCATATCCTTCGCATCCAAAAGAATGGGAATGATGCCTTTCCCTGGAGGCTACTCTGACCTGGAATCTTGGCAAACCAGGAACTGGAGCTCTGTCTGCAACTTGGGCTGCCATCACACACCCTAAATCACCCACTTTCAGTGCACTTTCCAACTGGATTTTACTGTGTGAAGTGGCAAAATCCAGTTGGAAAGAGCACTGCAAGAGGATTGAAAGTGGATTATTTAGGGTGTGTGATCGCAGCCGTGAAGTGGAAGGCTTGCAAAGAAAATTTTCTTCAGGTGGGCCAGAGCCAAAGCTCAGACGAGGCAGAAGCGCGCACGCCTGGCAGCTCAAGGCCTCCTGGACTCCGGTCTCACTCGGGGGGAAAGCACAACCCTCCAGAGCTCGGCAAGACCAAGGGCCTAACTCTGGGGCCTCTCCGTTACCTACATGATCCTTCAACGGAGCTCCAACCTCTGCTGGCTCAGTATCTCCCACAAAAACCAACCCGTGTTCCAAGCTGAACCACTTCCTGCCTCTGACGGAGACCCCTCGGCTTGAAGCTCCAGCTCTGATGATCCGTTTCTGCTCTGCTTGTTCCTGGCTCCGTGGCCCTCAGGCCTTTCCACCTGGCCGCGAGGCAGGCGATGGGGACAGCCAGCTTCCCTGCAGGAACTGGCCACCGACTCTGTTGACGGTCGGTGGGATCATGTTCTGGTCAGTAGACGGCTGCGGGAAGCCATGCGCTGCGGCCGCCCTGAGTGTCGGAGCTGTGCCGGTGGTGACCCGCAGGCTGCCGCTGCCTCCACTCCCAGCCAGGCACTTCCTGGCTAAGTGCGAAGAGGCTGAGAGCTGCTGGGGGAATCCGGCAGGGCTGCTGAGGAGGGCTTCTGCTGTGGATCTGCAGGCCTCGCTTGCTCCATGGCTTCCCACGGCAGCTCCTCCTCAGCATTCATGAGCCACTGCTGCACCAAGCCAGTGGAAGGAAGGAGACAATTTACCTGTGGAATCCTTTGAACATTACGCACTGATTCCTCTCCCTAGCTGGTTAAGGTTTCTGGAGGGGAAAGAAGAAATCTCCCATGGCCACCAAGAGGGGTGGCTTGCCACTGGGCCAACAGGGAACAAACTGGGCAACCACCTCTGGTTGCAAGAGGAAAACTGTCACAGCCGACAGCTGTACCTGCAGGGTACCCGGGAGGCTGAACCTTCCTTCAGCAGAGAACAGGAAACTGAAAGGGACAGATGAGGCGTGCTGAAGGGGAATGACCTAGGTTCTGCACTCTGAGAAATGGAATCTGCCCCCAAACTAATGAACACCTAAGCCTTTACTGAAACAGTCAGACTTGTCTCACATACAATAATGCCACCTCAGAGTTCAACAAGAGCACAGGGCTCTTCCAGCTAGCATTTTGGAAGTGAGTCACATGTTGGCTCTTAGATGCAGGACTTGCAAGCGCTTCAGGCGGAAAAAAACAGGATTGGTGGAGAAAGCCGTCCTTACCGTTATCCATTTCCTTCAGTAGCTGGTCACGCTGCAGCAACTTTGACATGTCCGTTTCCAGGCCTTGCCTGAGGATCTGCTCCACCACCTCCCGATCCTCATTCAGGCGGAAATTGAAGTCTCCAAACCAGAAGATGTCATCAAAGCGGGTCGTGACGTCTGCTGTAAAGCCAAGCGAGGGAGTGAGAGGGAGGAGCAACAAGGCAGAGGGTCCTGGGCACAAGCTGCCCCCTTGGCGGAGGCTTGGAAAGGAGACGGGCAGCAGCCCAGGCAGTGAGGAAGCAGAACGTAATCAGGCTGCTGCGGGCGTGGCTTCCTCCTATGTCAGCAAGGCGGTGGCTCAGCAACTGATGGTCGACTGTGTCGAATGTGGCCGACAGGTCCAACATCAGTACCGCTGATCCGCCACGATCCGCCTCACAATTAATTTTAGCCAACATACTTCATCACTATCAATAGATGGCATCTTAAGGTGGGTATTTTTTTAGTTTGAATATACCTTATAAATATATTTCTACGAAAATATTTATAACAGTTTTCTATAGTACATTTTGTTTGGTAAAACTTATTGTTAAAATTAAATACATGGAACATGTTTCAAAAGACATAGATAAATAAGAACACGTACATTTCCTGGTAGTTGAGACCGCGAGGGACAATACTCATAAGTATTTGACTAAGGAAGCCCAGCATTAGGACAACGACCCACGACCCACAAGGACCTGCTGCAGACCTAGACTGGGATTTATCCCCCCCCCCCCCCCCCCCAGCACGAAAGCACAAATCTGCTGCAGAAAGGAACGTTTCACCACTGCGCATCATAGTGGTAACACTGAGCTGGAAAGGACAGCTAAATCTACGGTGCAAAATCTTCATATGAAAAGAGGGCACATCTGACTGCCAAGTGACTCACACGGGCTGGAGCGATAGGGGTTGGTGTCCGGAATGTTCCTGGGCAGCGCAAGAGCCTGGATGGTTTTGTTGTAGTCCAGCACCCTCTCGTACACTTTGCCATCTCCAGCTGAAAAAGACGAGATCTGAGCAAGGCCTCAGGGAAACCAGACTGGGGACAGAGATCCTTTCTTTCTCTTTATTTCTTACTCTACTCCTTAAGTAGTTTTTATCAGACACATTGGGGATATGAGGGAGGGAGGAAGAAAGAAAGAATTCAGCCCAGAGAGGGTTAATATGTTAAGCTACAAAAACAGCTGTTTTCTTGTAAGTTGCACGAATTCTCAAGGCCTGAACTAAAAATTTAGCTAAAATGAGTAAATGTTCTACTCTTGAGTCTGCTAATAGTTTATGAACCAGAATATCTACTGAAGACTTTGTCCACTGTAATGTCAAAGGTTTAATCCATTTCTGTCTCCGCTCGTGATGCCAGGGACATTCAAATAAAATATGGCTTACAGATTCAATAGCACCCAAGCCACAGCCACAATATCTATTTGAGAAAGGTATGCCCAATACGCAGCCTTCAGAAACTGCAGAAGGTAGTGCATTCAATCTTGCGAGCATAATTGCTTGTCTATACTTTGGGTCTGTTAAGCTGGACAAAAGCATTGGAATTGTAAAACTTGGGGGAATTCCCATAGAAAGGGAAGAGCAAACCCGCCTAGCTCTGTATATGGTGCTATTTGCATCTATCTTCATAATTAATTTCTTGATGGTTTTATGAGCTAAAGGCCATCCTAGAGCAGCAATTACATTTTCTGAGCACTGCATGACATTCCATTTTTCTTCTACTGCTTGGTTCCATGCACTAGGGAAGTTACCATGCTTCACATAAAACAGTTGTCTGTTATTCTCTCAGAAAATTATTTAAAGTCTCATATTCAGAGCCAAAATCGAAGCCCTGGCTTCGATGGAATGTTGGCCCAATTCTAATCTGAGGGTCGTACCTGCCATATACTTTGGTATTCCACAGATCTGATGTAAGAACAGTATTAGTGGTTGATCTATGGTTTCGGCTATTTTATGAATTGAGACTGTTGCTCAATATAATATTTGAGTGTTGAAAACTAATTGCAGCTGGAAGAGCCAGTTTGGTGTAGTGGTTAAGTGCGCAGACTCTAATCTGGGAGAACCGGGTTTGATTCCCCCACTCCTCCACTTGCACCTGGCTGGATGGCCTTGGGCAAGCCGTAGTTCTGATAAGAGCTGCTCTTGAAAAAAGAGCCGTTTCTGTCAAGAGCTCTCTCAGCCCCACCTACCTCACAGGGTGTCTGTTGTGGGGAGGGGAAGGGAAAGGAGTTTGTAAGCCGCTCTGAGACTCCTTTGGGTAGTGAAGGGCGGGGTATAAAATCAATCTCTTCTTATTATTATTGTCTGCCTTTTCAGTAGAAAAAATGCTTTATTGCTACCCCGGAACAAGCTGCTGATGCCATAACAGCTTTACATTGGCGTTTCCAAGATAGGTAATCATCAAAAGTTACTCTAAGATACTTGAAGGATCTGACCTGCTCCAGTTTGTTGTCGTCTAATCTCCATTTATATCTGCAGTCTCTTCTCTGTTTTGTAAAAACTAAAATCTTCAACTTGGCAATGTTAATTATCAGATCATGCTCCCAACAATAGTTCAAGAAGGATTGTATTAACCTTCGAAGCCCAGTAGGAGATCATGATATTAAAACTGCATCATCAGAACAGAGTGATATAGGAATTTCTAGAACTCCCAGTTTTGACAGATGGAATCTGTCTTGCTTAAGAGTGGGTGCTAGATCATTAAGATATAAAGAGAAGTGGAGCCATCAGGCATCACTGGTTAACATCAGATCTCATTGCAAATATCCTTGAAAGTTGTCCCTCTGACCCGCATCTAACCTGACCAGTTGGATTATCATATTGCATCTCAATTAGCCATAGCAATCTGTGATCAATTGTGGTTTTCATAAGTTCTTGCCACAAATGAGTCCTAGGGATTGAGTGAAATGCAGATTTCAAGTTCATAAAGGCAGCAGATAACTTTCCTCTAAAATGGAGATGTGGGTGCCAGCACGGCAAGAACAGCCAACACAGGGAAGCTCTCCCGTGTGCCAGCTGGATCAACGATCTCCCTGAAGAGGAGCACAGTGCAGGGGGCTTGATTGGGACTCTCCGCAAGTGGTGGCAAACGGTGAGAGTCCATTGATTGCCCCGAAGCAAGAACAGATTGAGAACGCCCATGCCAGGCATGGGCACAGAGCCGTAACTGCCCGAGCGAGGGGCAGAAGTAGAAAACTTCAACTGAGCTGCTTAAAAACGTCATCACCGTGAGTAAAAGAACAACATCAGAGACTCCCCAATGATTAAGCCCCCTTTAACTCTATTGAAAACACAAAGGAGTAGAGGGGTGAAGAACCCTTCCCCTCCCCCTTTCTTCCAGCAGTGAAGAAAAGATCTGAAAGCATTCTTTAAAATGGCTTGGGCAAAAGAAGAGAAGGTTGTGATCTGAGAACAAAACTGTCAATAAAAATACCAATCTTTTAATACTCTGTAGTGGACTACAAAAGTTTGGAAATATTCATTTTATTTGGCTTTGACTTATAGGGAAATAAGAGCTCCTCTGTTTGGAATTACAAATAAATTATCTGGAATTATATGAACTAAATGAAGACCCTTTAAAGGATTACAAATAATATTTTAATAAGTACCACAATTAAAAAGAAGAATCAATAAGAACGATTAGGAACTTAATTTGATTTTTTTATATGTTATATTCTCATAACATACTTTATCTTGGTTTGTTGAAATTATAAAAGTACATTCTGTTTTCTCTGTATTGTTAGCAATTGATAAGAATATTGGCCTTGGTTGAAACTGTCTCAGTCTTTAAGATGACTATAATGACTACTGTTTTACAAATATAGAAGTGGTGTGATTGTACGGGGTTTTCTTTACTGAAAGGCAACCTGAAAGATTCGCTGAATTCCAACTTGGGAATGCACCTGCTTTGCTTTAATGTAACCATAACAAAACTTGCTGTGTAAACAGAGGTAGTTGTGTGAAGGCAGGTTGTACTGATATAGAGTTGGAGAGATTCCCTGTTTTCAACATATTTTGGAAATGGCTGGTGTAGACAAAGATACATTGTTGACTACAGACTTTAAATGATTATTACAGGAAGCAATTATAACAGCAGTAAGAACAGCTCTGGAAAAAACTATAAAAATGTGCAACCTAAGCCTGATTTACTTTTACAGCAGAGCACCAATCAGAAGGAAGAGCAAACTGATATGACACTTATTACTGTGGAATATATTGATACAGAAGATTTAGATGAAGTTTACAATCCAACTGATATGACTTACAAAACATATTCAAAAACAGACACACTAACTGAAGAACCGGATAGGAGACCCCATGAAAGAATGACAAGAGATGGAATTATTGAACCAACAAATGACACACCTACTCAAAGAGAGAGAAAAGAATACATGGAACCTCAAACTACTTTAAAAATTGATTATAGATGGTTACCACCAGAAGATACTTGTTTCATCTACAAGGGAAAAAGGCACAAAACTAAGACTTTAAGGCTCAAGAGGAGAAATCAGAGAATGAAGGATAGGATGAAAAATTATGGAAAAGTTCCAAAATTCTGTAGATAAGAAAGATACGTAAAAATCAATTTCTTTGGATAAGGGAGAAACACAGCAGCTGTTTAAAACTATATAAATGAGTTGATACATTAGAAAATATACTAAAAGAGTATAAATTTTTTTTGAAGCATATATGAAAGATTATTGTAAGAATATAAGGTGAAATATGATTTTTTTTGAGGTATTTAAATAGGTAATATGATGAGGTAATGAAATTCCCTATTATTTAGATACCCATGTAAATGCTTGTGTATGTATGAAATTACATGGTTTTAGATTTTAAAATGAACTGAAGAATACAATAGAAAAAGTATACAGACGTATAACCTTTCATAAATTATAAAAACTGATATTTAAAAGTTTGCAAAAGATTTTTCTAAGAACATAAGGTGATGATGTAATTGAACCCCACACATTTATGTATTTGTGTGTTATGTGTGTTTGGTCATTGTGATGTGTGACGTGTGTTTGGTCATTGTGATGTTTCTCTTTATTAAAAATAAAAATCTTTAATTAAAATAAAACTTTCCTCTAAAATAGCAAATGTATTTTTCTGCTAAGTGGTGTAGAACGATGCAGTGGTCTATGGCAGATGCTCCCTGTATAAAGCCTGCTTGCTCTACACCTAGCACTGATTTAGAATAAATCCAATCAGTTAACTTGTAATACAGGTAGGATGTATATAGTTTACAAATTACTGGTAGTAAACTAATTGGCCTATAATTACTTGGTTTCGATTGCCGTTCTCAGCAGGGAGGGCGGGATAAAAATCAAATAAATAAATAAATAAATTTAGATCTCTGACAAAAGGATAATCTGGATCAATTAATATCTGCCTGGCCTCTCTCTGAGAAAAGGCATTGTCATCTGGTCCTGTTCTCGCATTGAAACTGCCAGCTAGTATCAAGGGCAAAGATGGATAATGCGGCCCCTCCACTCAGTCTTCCCCCTTTATCTCCCCTCGATGCTGCTAGGATATAAACCTTAAATCCTTGAAGAGAGACATGACCGTATGTCCTCCATATCTCCCGTAATAATGTAATATCCAAAGCAGACAGAAATTTCTTAATCTCAGGAGTTGAGATTTGGAGCACCAACGGGCTTGGACTCCATGAAAGAATGCCTATTATAGAACTGTCAGAGCGTCATTTTAAGGTATCCAGTTTAACTGGCAGAGCATTCCCTTGTGGGGCTTCGCAAGCAGATTTTCTAACTAAATAAGGAATAATCCATTACTATGAGTCGCTGTAATCTTCTTCTTAGATTTTTCTATCAAATTCAAATACCTTTTATTGGCATACAATATTAGAAGCATTTACCAATAATACAATCCAAAAGAAATTATAAGATAGATAGTCGTGGCTATGTCAGGCCTAACTCAAGTTGTCACAAGCTAGATTTGACCATACAAAAGATGCCTGAATCATAAAATAAATTGGCATTCTAAACTTTTAAACTTAAGTTTTTAGACTTATAAATTAAGAATCATTAATATGGTCAGGGTCACTCTTCCGTTTTATAAAACCATGGAGAAACTTCGCCGTCAGTTGAAGATCTCCGGATCTTGTGAAGCAAGGAGAAATTGTACCTTGATTCTATCCGATTGGCCTGCTACCAACCTAAGGGGGGCTTCTATAAATTCCACTCGAATGTCATTTAACAATTTACAGTGTAAGAGTACGTGCTCAACAGTTTCTATTTCTCTTCTATTACATCCACAGCACCTGACTGAATAAGGAATTTGCTTATATCTCCCCTCAAGAATAGCAGAGGGGAGAACATTAAGACGGGCCAACAGATAAGCTCTACACATTTGCGGTGAAGTCAGGCAGAAAAAGTAATATGGTAGAGCACCAGAAAGGGGATAGGCCCACCTTACTGAGGAGCACCTTCCGGAGGCAAGGGCTCTGAGCTCTTGCAACTCTATATCAATAAGCCTCTGTTTAAGCAGAGTAAAGACCTCAAGCTCTGACCGGATGACAAGGTCACTCAGGTTAAAACCAATAGAAGTTATTTTCTTTTCAATAGCCATAAGCCACGCAGAGGATTGAGATTCTTCCAGCATATAGGTGATAAGGCTATTGTGGTTACATCTAAAATGCAGACGTAGCCAAAATCTGAAAGTAGATTTTTTTCTACAGGATCGAGCTTGTGGGACTTGAAATCAGAGTCTATTTTACCAAAGGGGGGATTGGTTCATTTCCCCCAATCAGTGGGGGGGGTTTTGTTTTTTTGGTGGCCTTTTGAAATATCAACAAGAGTCAGCTGTAATCCTTGGATCCCACGGACAATATTATTTCTGTCTACTTCTGGCAGTGCTTCAAAAGAGGCCAAGAAGACTCATGAGAGGGATAAAAATGTAAGGAGACAGCCGTCCCAAGTGAGGGACAGGGAAATGCCCCTGACACCAGCGAGTCCTGCCCTGCTCTTTCTGACATTTCAGCAGGCACATCACGAGGCTGTGCCGCAAGGATTCAGACTTGCTTGGTGGCAAGAGAAGGGCAGGGAAGCTGAAGTGCTGAGGGTGCTAGAGAGCACTTTCTGCAGCTGCCTGCTGTGCGGTCTATGAGGAAGACACGCCGTCCCCCGTAACACAGGATCTCTTCGAGGAACTGATAGAGGAACATTTCTTGCAAACTGCATAGGAGACACACATGCACATGAACCCCCCTCCCCAACAAATCCAGCACTATCGTCTCCGGAAAAGATGACCTGCCCAGTCTTAAAACCAGATGGCAGTAGAGCACCTGACTATGGTGTCTGCATCATCAGCTCTGGAACAAAACCCTCCTCCCCACCTATGCTCGTGGGAAATGTGTGAGCTACTTACATGTGAAATGGGATGTGATGAAAAGGAAGGATGTGCCGAAGAAAGTAAAGCAGACTCCCAGGGCACCTTTGGTTTTGATCTGGGACACGATGCGAGTGGTCACTGTGGCATACTCCACTTCTGGAGAAAGACAAAGCCTATCAAAGGGCACTTCAGGTACATCAGGTCAAGACAGTGCTGGAACTAACGTGCAGTCAGTCATTATCGATAACTTCTGTAGCGAAAAACGGCCATGCTGGCTCTTGTGGGTTCGGCCTAGGCTTCTGACAGAAGTGGCAATGTTTGCTTATTAGAATGTAGGTGTTCTCACACTTAATAAAAAAGTATCTTGTTGAATAAAGCAACGGTGTAAACTCTGAACGACTTTATCATTTAAATGTTAAAACGCTAAGAAGCTCACAATCTGTCTATCACCCATACATATTATTAGCTTTGCTACTGAAGTTTCTCAAGAGCAGTTAACCTGTTAGTGTGCTCCAGAGTCAGTCTTGTGTACAGATGATTAACTGTAAGGGAAATACACAATCTGTAGGCACAGACAATCCTGGAATGCTGCACAGGTTTTCCAAGCACTAGTTTTCCAAGCCTTGGAAAATATATTTAGCGACATGCAAATGGTAAACAAATCCTTACTGTCTATTGTTTAAACATCTAGCATTTTACATTCCTATTATTTGCCTTTAGACTCAATGACAAAGGCAGACTATAGGTGAAGAACAAATAAATCACTCAAGTTAGTGGTAGATGAGCTAGTTAAAAGTCGAGCATCTAATGGGTGAAACACACCTGAACAGAACCAGATGAGATCCCTGCGCAAGAAGACCGACATGTACAGCACCCCGTGGGCAGCTGCATGCAGCATGACGTAGTGGGGACCAAGCGTCTCCTGCAGGCGGATCTCCCACTCTCGCCTAGGGAGCAGAAGACAAGGCAAGCCGGCCCACGTTACTTCTCAGTAAACGACAAACTCCACCAGATCACAGTAAAACTCAAAGGAAATTTCATGACAGGACAGGCTTGTTTGCAGTCTTGTGTACAGATGATTAACTGTTTGATGACATTAACATTCAAACGCCAATTGAAACATTTCCAAGATCTTGAGAACACCAAGATTTTCGATTATTCAAAATTTACAGATAAAGAGTTGTTTCAAGGTCATTAGTTCAGTGGGCCTTATTTACGTAGAGAGGGAATCCCGTGCTTGGCTGCCTGACTTGGGTCACACTCAAGTCTCTGCTGGCAGGGAATTCTGTCCACTGGAAACAGAGGCACCTCAAAAGCCTCCCGTCACAAGGGAACGCCGGGCTTTCGGCCTCTGACTTTGTCACTGTCAGATTAATAGTTCCCCAACAGGAAAATGGAATGATGGCAAACATCAGGGAGATTCCCTCTGAATAAGACCTATAGTAGCAGAATTATTTTAACTTGTAAAACTGAACTAGGAAACCCTGCGCCACAGAATACCAAGTTATCAGATGCAGAAGGATTCTCCTACCAATTTAGCCTCCTTCTAGCAGAATCACCCTGAACACATTGTCTGGGGACTGCAAGGCCAAAGGCCAGGAAGGGGGGTGGGGTGAAGAGCAGCCTTCCTCTTTCCATACCTATCCGGACAGCCTTCTTGGATCCCGATCACATACATGTCCTGGGCACAGTCAGGGTCTGATGGAAGCAGCAGATCATCCAGCAGCTCAGGGAGCTCCTGCAAGAAAAACAAGTCCTTTCCAAACTTCAGGAAGCATTTAGAGGAGAGGAAGAACAAACCCTGTTAAGCTATCATGACCGCAACCAGGCCATTTAGAGCCATTTAGAGCCCAGGATGAGTTTGGATTGCCTCCGAGCTTCAGCGCTGCCTGGAGATTAGCAGTTTTAATTGACTTGTGGGATTAAAGCACTGGCCTGTTCCCCCTGTCCTACACCAGCCAGCCAAACACAGTGGGAGACCTGCGACAAGGAAAACGCAAGTTCAGTTACATGGGGAAGGTCGCCTCCGGCAGACGGCTTCAACTTCCGTCCCCTGGAGTGTTCTGGAACCAAATTTCCTGGGGATATTATGAGTGCTTCCTTTTCCTCTTGCCACCCACTGCTCCGGTACCCACCTTCCCTTAGACTGCTTCAACTCTTATTCCCGGACCTGCTCTCAAATATGATTCCACAATTTAGTCTGCACGTCGCTATACTGCACAGAAAGGATTTGCCCTTCTTCGAAATAGTCCTCCTACTGCTGGAATAAAAACGGAAGCAAAAAGGCTGGGCAGGCACATGATCAGAGCTCATCAGTGGCTTTCCTTCAGCATCCGACCTGGAAAAATCTGCACCATCACCCTGCTTGCCCTCTCCTGGTTCACGGGGTTTGCAGGCATGATGTGCTCTGGGCACGTGTTTGCATAACTCCAGCATTGTAAGAGTGCGCATTTTTCTTTTCTTCCCTCCACCCCCGAATTTAGGAAGGCTGTCATGGACAAAGCCACAGGAGACTTTCTTCCCTCACCTTTTGGCCCTGCATGTTCCAGGTGGCCACAAAGATCCCAATACTCCGATCAGGGAAATAACGGTTTAGCTCTTCTGCTCCCAGCAAAGCACCACTGGCTAGCAGGCTGCCTTCCAAGTAACTTCTGCAGGGAAAAGACAACTAAGAAATAAAAATATAACCACTCATATTTCTTACAGGACTCAATGGCACAGAAAAATAAACCATCTCCAAGCCTGGCACACACCAAAGAAAACTTCACAATCTTCATTAATATCAGAACCGTACGTTTTATAATTTACTCCTAGCTTCTAGTAGCAGAACATACAATTACACAATAAGGAACATCAGAAGTGGTCCACTGTTTATTCTACAATCACCAGAAGATGGAGAAACCCCTTCCTCTACTATCTATCCATAGCATCTAGTCACCAAAAATATTCCAGAATGTGGAGACTGCGCCTCTGGCTGTCATACATCCTCACCTCCAATAGACCCAAACTGGGAACATTACTGACATTAGCAACAATCACAGCGTCCAGCTGCAAGAAGATACAAACGTTAATTATGCACACTCAGGTAGCAGGTCATGATCTTTCAAGGAACCTGCAAGTTATCGACTAGTCTGTTGGCATGTCTGAAACCCGCCTTCTCTCTCAGCAAGCAGCTTAGTTCCTTTTAGCCATCTGGGCTGGCACCACACAGTTACTCCTGTGATTACCAGGCCTATGAAGCTGGTGAGGCACGGGGACCAGGAAGTCCCCAGTCTGAGGGTCTGACCAGAGAATATACTGGAAATTCCATGTCAGCAGCTCCCGGTAATTTTTTTAAGTTTCCTGTGGGGAGCCAATTCAGATTGGAACTATGATGCAAGGGGCAAGTTACATTGTCACCACAACAGTGCCATTTCCCCAACATAAAATGGCCCTAGGGAGCTACTGTTTGCCCAGCTGGGAAAACCTATGGCCTTTAAAGTCACCTATATCCTGGTAACTGACTTTTTAGAAAACGCTGGGAGCTCCTCCTATGGAATTCGTATTAGTACTGCCTTATCCTAAATCTGGTGCCTGTCAAGAAGCCCCCAGGTAGCCTCAGGTAAGCCCCGCTCCCCCAATTCCCAATCTGCAACATGGGCCTAACAATGCAGACCTACCTCATAAAACTGTTGTGAGGCTTAAAGCAACAGAAGGTAGGCAGGGCTGCAGGGCTGCAAACGGCATCCTCCCCACATGCCAAGTCCCTGCAGGCACAGCAAAGCCCTCAGCATCCCAAGAGGAAATGGTGGCTCCAGAGATGGACTTTTCCCGATTTCTGCTACCGACACCTCAACAATCAAGCCAAGTGTGGCTGCTAAATGCAGTGATGACCACAAGGGTACAGCCCCATTTTCCATCCTGCCTGACAGTCAGTACCAGCCAAATGCTGGAATATGAAACTTTAAAAGGTGAAGACGGTTGTTGCTGAGTGGACTTCTTAGACTGTAGCTTCACTCTGTATCTGGACCAGTGATCCCTCTAAGCTGAGTTAGTGTGAGCTAGCTCACAGTTTTCTAGCCTCCGGCTCTCACATTTTTGTCTTAGCTCAGGAAGGATGGCTCCAGAGCAAACTAATTTATGCAGTAGCTGAATTGCTCGCTCACAACTTTAATGCCAGTAGCTCACAGAGTAGAAATTTTGCTCACAAGACTCCACAGTTTAGGGGGAGCATTGATCTGGACCTCTGTTCAGCCTGACTTTTCTTTCTCATCCCTTTGGGGAGAACCAGGGGTCTTGTTGTAGAAAAAGAGCTGCCGGAGCTCATTAGCATAACTCATTAGCATAACTTATTTGCGTATGCCACGCCCCCTGACATCACCGGAAGTGACAGATGGCCACGCCCCCTGACATCACCGGAAGTGTGTCAGAAGGCCCGGCTACTTACCCTCCTGCTTCATCCTCATTCCCAAACGGAATGAGGATCGAAGCAGAGGGCGAGGTAAGGAAGGGGGCGGGGCTTCACCACGTGACCGCCCAGCCCCCTAGAGGTTCTCTTCCGGAGCTCCGTACCTGAGAGCTCCCCCCCGACTAGAGCCCTGGGGAGAACTACTGAGGAACTAAGAAACAGATTTTGAAAATCGTAATCTTTATAAATTAAACCCTTGACTTATAATTTTGGACATTGGGCCGATTTCTTCTGGACACTTCAGAAATCCTCTTTTCATTTGGAGGTCTGGAGATCTTATGAACTTTTTTTCATTTTTCATTCTGTTGGAATGAATTATTACTTTTGTGATTATCTCTTATGTAGTAATTAATCCTTTTTTAAACTCTATTGATAAAGCCGCCCTGAGCCTGCTCCGGCAGGGAGGGTGGGGTATAAATTGAATAAATAAATAAGTAAGCTGCCAAAATATAGTTCAATTGATTCATCTACCCCATCTTTATAGTGGTTATAAAACTGATATGATGAGACTTTTATGAATCGTTGAGGATTTACTGTTAATTGATCTAATACTTTTAAGTCACATAAGAAATGTAAGATATTCTTGATTTATCCAGCTGGATTTGAGTCCAGAAGCACCTTAGAGACCAATAAGAGTTTTGGAATAGAAGCTTTTAAGAGCGAAAGCTCCCTTCATCAGATTTACCTGGTTGTAGAAGCTGATGTAATGTATCAATTTAGTGCAGTACAGACTAATCAGAAAGTATCTGCTCAGGAAATAAGAATCAAACAACATCTGCAGAAAGAGGAACTGCAAAAGATTAAAAATAATTAAAACTGGATGATGAAATGAGGAAAGTGAACTTAGAATTTCTAGGAATTCTGCAGGATACTGATCAGTAGAATGCATTGGCATTTCTGGAAAATACTCTTGAACATTTATTTCTGCTTAATTCAGATTGTGAAGCAGAAACAGAGCAGGTGTTTGTATCCAGTCTAGCTGTGCTAGAAAAACAAACTTGCAAGAGATGTTTTGCTGAAATTTATTTGCAGAAGGGTTGAGGATGCAGAAATGCATAAGACACGGAATGGCTCAGATGTAATAATACAAGGGGGGAAAGTAGATTTACATCCAGATATACTAAAGAGATGATGGGATCAGTCTTTTCTGTTTCTTTGGGGAAAACAATTTTATTATTGATGGGGATATCTTTTAAACTAACAGTCCTGTTAGATGTGGAATGGGTGACTCTCTGTAATTAAGATGGTCTCTGTAATATGGACATAATTACAGACACATTATAAATCTAACCCAGAAAAAAATATTTCCAGCAGGCACAAGCAGATGAGTTAATCACTGTAGAGAGGATATATTCCCCTAATAAAAGGTGAGATGGTGCTAGACTAATAAAAAAGGGGAACACACATTTTATATTTACTCAGAAAATACATATTTTAAAAAGTGATTAAATTTATTTGAAATAATTAAAATTGGGGGCGGTATACACAGCTCCATATATTAGCAAAATATAAAATTAAATATCTGGAACACCACAAAGACACGAACATTGTGAGCATCACTTAAATGATCTTGGTTAGGAAAAAACAAAAGTGATCAAGATGAATATTCTAACAAAATAAGAAAAGCAAAGAAGTATATATTTTGGGTTTACAGAAGATGTTAGCTCAACTTTCACATAACTGCTTGTAGTTTCAAAAAAGGCAACTGAGCGAAAAGATCTTTTTTGCCCTTTTTAAAATCTCTTCAGGTCCGGTATAAGGAGAAACAGAAACTTCTACGCTTCATTAACAATGAAACCTCTTCCAACAAGGGGTTATTTAGGAAGCACAGATGAACAAGCGGTGGGACCACAAGGACTTGTGGGGGGCACCTTGTTTCTCCCCATCCCACTACTAGCTCTTCCCCTTCCCTGAGAGCCTCTACCTTTGTACTGCTTCCTTCTGTCCTTCCCACCTGCCAGCCAGCCTATTTTTGTCGTCCCCCCCCCCACGGACACACCGGAAGCCTCTCCTGGGAAAAGTCTGCCCCAGTTGCATGGTGCTGGCCAGGCTGGGTCCACCAGTGGCATAGTGGAGAACCCACAAGGACTTGCGTGAAGGATCTTACTTTGCTTTGTATCCTCCTCCTCACACTTCCCCTTCCCTGAGAGCCTCTACCTTTGTACTGCTGCAGAATAAAAAGCCCAACAAAACACGCACACATACAGTAGCAAGGCACAGGAAAGCTCATACCTTGAATAAAGCTTTGTTGGTCTTAAAAGGTGCCACTGGACGCAAACTTTGTTTCACACACACACACACACACACACAAGGTATTGCGGAGGAGAAGAGGTGGAGGTGAATCCAATGAAGCCATTGAAGAATAAGTCCAACAACAACTATAACATTTACTTCTCGGTTCTAGTATTCCTCTGTTTTCCTTTTTAATTGTAGCATCATGAGTGCCACCAGACATTTCTTAAAAATTTGCAGAGCAGCTGAGCCCATTCACTGGCCCCAACGCAACCCCTGCACTTTTCTCTTTCAGCCTGGCCATGTCGGCACAGGCTGGAGAGGGCTGGGGATGAGGAGGTGGAAGGGAAGTGCTGAGAAGGACAGGCTTTGACTGGGCGGGAAGAGGAAAGTGCAGGAGCCATGGGCTCAGCTGCCCTGAGAATTTAAAAAAATCTGGTGGCACTTATGATGCAACAAGTAAAGGGGAAAACAGAGAAATACTAGAACCAAGCAGTAAGGTTTCAGTCTCTGCCACAGAGATACACAGTGAAATACACAACAACATCAACAAAAAAGAGACAACCCCCCCCCCCACTGTAGCAAGGTGATGGCACAGAGGAAGCAATGGGGAGGTGGAGCCAGTTGTACTCAGGACAAAAAACTGACACACACAGGCTCACTGTTCCTGCTGTCCTCTCATTTCTGCTCTCACTGACCATCAAGGCTGGTGTGCTCCTCCCTTGTGTGACTCAAAAAAAATGAGGGGGTGGGACTTGTGTGGGAACAGGAAGTGGCTTTTGGACCCATCCACTTCATGGGGGGGGGGGAGTGAGCTCCAAAACACACACTGCCCTCAGCAGCTGAAAAGATGGTTCCCTCCACTTCTCTCCCTCTGGTCACTTCCTCGTAGACTGGATTAAGGCTCTAGGCGGGCTGGTTCTGGCCCACGGGCCATACGCTTGACACCCAAGGTCCAAGATATATTAAAACTACTCTGAGGGAGAATTCAGAATCTCAGTCAAGAAAGCTGCAACACTGCTTTATACAAACATTATAGTAGTGGAGGAGGAATTTGGCAGGAGGTTTGGGGAGTTAGAGCGAACTCCCAGACAAGCCAAATAGGAAAAAGAGTTACTGCTTCTTAGCAACAAGGATAATAACTTCTAGCCAGTAGAAAGGGGTAGGGAAGGGAAACCTGGTCTATGATAAAGGGGAAGAGCTTAGACACCTCAAGAGTTACTGGAAAGCTACAATATTGAAAGGGAAAACCTAGATCTCTGAAGGGAGAAACCTAGAAACTGTAAGCAAACACTATTCTCCAGAAAACAGTATTAAGAACCTGTGTTAGTGCTGAAATACACTCAACAAAGCACCTCTCATTGAAAAGATCTTGAAACAGAATTCAAATCTGTATAAATTAGAAAGTTTACCATCAGCATCTCTAAACCTTGATTTTATACACACACACACACACACACACACACACACACACACACACATATATATATATATACCTGCTTGTTTAATAAAATATTTATTCTGTTTTTGAATGTCAATTTTGCCTCATGTGCCATTTCATGGGGATATTTTAAAACAAGACAGCTCCTGTATTCCCTCTATCTCCTGTACTAAGTCATAAGCCTAAACTAATATCTATAACAGGGTGGAACACTTAAAGCTTATAAAATAAAGAAGAAATTCACGTTACTGAAGGGCAGCTCAGTCACTGAGGGAAACTAAAAATATTTTTGGCGGGAAAATCAGGGGTCTGTCAAAGCCAGTGTTCCCTCTAAGCTGAGTTAGTGTGAGCTAGCTCACAGTTTTTTAGCTTCTGGCTCACACAGTTTTGTCTTAGCTCAGGAAGGATGGCTCCAGAGCAAACTAATTTATGCAGTAGCCAAATCAATCGCTCACTCACAACTTTAATGCCAGTAGCTCACAAAGTAGAATTTTGCTCACAAGACTCCACAACTTAGAGAGAGCACTGGTAGCATCAAAAATATGAGGAAAAAATCCCATTTGGAATTAATGCCGATTGGCAATGTTACAAAAGATAAAAGGTAGTTAATTTTCAACACAAATGGGGCAAAGATCTAAGACCCTCAGGCTAGAGATGACCACAGCAACAATTTTAAAAGCGCAACTTATTGGTAGAAAAAAATGATTTGGCCCGGCATCTAAAAGACAAAAAGGCAGGTGCCAGGTGAGCCTCAAGGGGGAGGGTTTTCCACAGGCAAGGGGCCACCACTTAAAAAGCCCTGGCTGCCACAGGTCACCACTGACCTCACCTCCGCAGGTGGGAGCACCGGGAGCCAGGCTTGTGAGAAGCATTGTTAACTGGACAATATGAGAAGAGGAAGTCCTTCAAGCAGTGTAAATATACTCTATCTACAGATGTCAGCAGCCCCATAGCTAGACCATTTTCGGGAGGGCACTGGGGGGGCATGACGTCACAAAAATAATAAAATAAAAATAGGAGAGTGCTCTCCTAGCCCCCCCTCCCGCTACTCGAGGAGGGGAGGGGAAGAGGTGCGCCACTGGAAGGAGAGAGGCTCACACTGCAGGGCGTCCCACCCGCCTACCCATGGGAGACTTTCTTGAAGACAGGTCTTGCTTCCAAGCAATGCGTTTAGGACTCTTGGGTGAGGGCTGGTGAGAGTGGCCAGCTGGCTGGCTGATGCCCGCCCGGCCACAAGAGTGCACAGCCGGCTCTGCCCCCAGCCCCAGCACGTGCAAAGGGCCTGGCTGCTGGTCAGGAGGGCGGAGCGAGCATCAGCCAGCTACTTTCACTGCTGCCCTCCCAACCAGCAGCCAGGCCCTCTGCACGTGCTGCGGCTGGGGGCAGAGCCGGCTGGGTGTGCACTCGCTTGGCCCTCCTCTCCCCCTCCCCCACCATGTGCTTTCTCTCGTGCTTCTGCCTCGGCTCCTGGCCAGATTACTTCGCCTGCCCTGTCCCATTCGCCTGCCTGCCCCCTCTCCCCGCTTCAGAACGCACCTGCAGGTAGCACACAGACCTCCTCCAGGGCCCGGCTGTGGGTGACAAGGCATGGCGGAGAGCCCCTCTGGCTGGCTGGCAGTGTGGCTGGCCATGTTCAGCGCCACCCCGCTCTGCTTGCCCAGCACAGCCCACCCATGCCATGCTCTCCCCATCGTGCAGTGAAGGACTGGGGCTGGGCACATCTGAGGGGGGCATAGCCCCTCCTGCCCCTGGCTAGCTACAGCCCTGGTTGTCAGGCATTTTGTGCTGCAAATCAATCATGTTAGATGAACTAAATGTGGGATACAAATCAGGGACAAACCACAGTACTTGTACATAGTGCATTTGCCTTCTTTTGCTTATGTTATTTAAATAATTTCTTTAAATCAGGACTTTTTCCTGGAAAATCCACATCACCACCTTCAGGCACCCTAGCTCCAAAACAGTTGGGACCTTATTGGTACGAACCAGAACTCTGCACTGTGCATAAAAGCAGATGGGCTGCCAGTGCAGCTCTTTCAGCACAGGAACGACAAGATCACTGTTCCCAGACCCGGCGGCAGCCTGGTTGCCGCACTCTGGACCAGCTGACACTTCCAACCATTCTCAAAGGCAGCCCAGAACACAGTCTGGCTTGGGCAGGATCAGAGGGTGGAGCAAGGTCACCAGATCATTCTTTCTGACGAATGGCCACAGCTGTGATCTGAAACTGATCACAGGGTACTTCTATTAGGATTAGCGATGTGAAGGCTCGGAAAAAAAACGGAAAATTGCGGGGGAAAACCGTCCCGCCCCCCCCCCCATTTTTTACCTGAAGCCTTTTTGTTTTTTTCCGAAAAATTGGAAACATTGAAGAAAAAAAAGATCATGGAATGTTTTATTTTAACATGATGAATAAAATATTTTAAGACAAGATGTTCAAATATTTTCCAAATCATTTCTAATATATATATATATGGTATCAGATTGATCTAATTTCTGTGCACTGAGGACAAGCAAGTCCTAGGTTACAAACTGAACCCTCCAATGCAAGAACAAGATGCATTTCTTCCTTTAGAAGGTGCGATTGTCAGAAGAAAATTAAAAAGTTTCAGTTTTGTTTTTGGATGTGGGTGAGTATTCTGTTTGAAATAATTGTTTGGATACACTATATTTTTAATATGCTAGTTGTGATAATTTCATGCCAAGTAAAAATGTCCATAGTCATATTTTATGTTCTTAAAGTAACAGAATAACTTTCAATCTAGAAAAGACAAAAGAAATGCTAATGTAGCATTTTTTTCAATTTTTCCGAAAATTTCCGGTTTTTTCCGAGTTTCAAAATCTCCGGAAATTTTACATCTCTAATTAGGATACCTCAAAATATTATCCTAGAAGAAGATTCAAAACTAGCTTTGGTTTGTATTGCCTCATACCGGGTGTGTGTGAATCCTCTAACTTCAGTATAAAAAAGCATCTGAGGCTTCACCTCAAAGTCCAAAGCTAACATGTTATATGGAAGGTCAGAATCTAGTTCACAATGCAATAGATTTACTGGAAAATGGATATTGCTTGTAATGCCCTGCAATAACATATCAGGACGATGTTCACCCCTAGGCTCTTTTTGGACTGTTGAAAACCGAGGAAGTTTTCAGACTTTTCATGTTATACACTTGGAATTAATGAAATACGTTTTAAGAAAAGGGTTTGTCTCACTAAAAAAGAGAAAATATGTCATAGGTGGGTTTTTTCTCCAATGCTCCTCCAAATTTCCCATCTTTCTATTGGAAAAATGGGGAGGGGGGAGATCCTTGGGGAAAAAAATTAAAATCCCCTCCCCCCAGGCCTTCCTGTCTGTACCCGCTGCTACAAGGACATACCTACTCCGCACATCTCTGACACGGAGGGGTGCCAGCAGGCTGAAGGTAGACTTCATGGAGGCCCTGGAGCAGTTGCCACAGACCATCCCTCGGCTGTGCAGCTTGGTGTCACTCCAGCTGCTGCCTGCCCTTGCGCACACGCTGCGGGAACAAGGCCTGTAATGTGCACAATCCGGGTCAATCCTATTAGCTGTCCTCAGAGCAGGGAAGGAGCCATCCATTTCCAGAGAGGGGGGAGGGTGGGTGGGCGTTACGTTGGGCAGCTCGTTACATAAAGACATCTTCTCACATGAGTTAGAAAGACTGAACTTGCCTTGCCCGATGCGGGGAGTTTCGGAGGCTTTGCACGAGCTGCGCGGAGATTCCTGGTCTCGGTTATGGTTGCCACAGGAGGCAAGTCTGAGCCACCCAGGAGGACTCCCCCCCTCCTGCAGGGACCTGGCAGAGGAGCCCACTTCAGCAGCATCGCTCAAGCTCTCCTGGCTCATTCTGAGGAGTCGCCTCCTCCGCCAGATCAGTTCATCAAGAGAGGAGGTTCGCTCGAGCCTTGGCTTCCGGGGAGGCTTTGGAGTAAAGGCGTTATTAAACTTCATACTGGGTTGGAGAACGTCTGGTGGAAATCTTAGCGTATCATTGAGAAAGGAGGATTCAATATCTTGCTGGTCCTCTGAAGGAAGAGTCCCACTGTCACCTGCTTCTTTCCTGGCAGTGCGGCTACTTCCCTTTGGTGGTGGGTTTTGTGACATCTTGCCCTCATCGCTCTCAGTAAGGGGCTGCATTGTATACTGGCAGAATCCATTGGAAGGGTTCATGTCCGGGCACCAGCTACAAGGAAATCAGAGAATCATCCTCCCTTAGTTTGAGGCACACTATGACAAGTTTTTCACAATTGGGAGGGGGACGCAAAAGAAGGGAAGACCATGGTCTTCTAGAGGAATGCGAAGAAACTAATCTACACTGTAAAATGCATCACTGAAACTGATCGACACATTCCAAAAAAACTACCCTACCATTTTGTTTTAAGATCGCAGTAATGCTTTCCAGTTGAAACTCCCTAAAAAATGTTCCACATGTTAGCCAGGTCATTCCCATTCACAGAATGAGAACTGAGACTTATTTTCAAGTAACAATCCTGGATATACCAAGTTCAACAAAATTTTACTTCTGGGTAAGTGTACTGAGGGGAAGCCAGAACATGGAACTAGTACTAGCTCCTTAAGGCCTTGAGCAACCAGACTGGGTGATGGGGGTGAGTATATCTTTCTTTCCTTTTGCAAAATGTGTTCATGGACACAAATTTACAAACATGGGGGAAATGACACACGACCAGTTGGCTGGCCTGCCAGGCTTTAATGAAGCACTGCCACACCCCCTACCGCCCACACATCTTTCTTCTCTGTACATTCCCTACCTCCAGAGCTTTGGAAACCAGAACAAACAAACTATGCAAAATAAACACAGATTAGCATCTGCACAAATCATCACATAGCATGGACTACCATGTGATCGTCATGACTTGTCAGCTGGAGGCAGTAGTCCTAGCATCACAGTACAGGTTGGGTTAATTTTAATGCAAGGCTGAATTGACACCCTCCATTTGCTGTACAGCAATGCCAGCTACAACCAGATCTACTCAAAAAGCAACCTGATCTGCTATGTGGCCAAGTGAATTTTGGCTTGGAGCAAGGAAGTCACCCAAGGACTTTCTCGGAGTGCAGATGACTGTGGGGGTGCAAGTCCCTTGACACTGTGGCAGAACTGCAGCTGAGGCACCTTCTGAAGAAAGGTGAGGGGCAACTAGAGACAGATCTCTCACTGCATCTGGCACCTGTTCTTCAAAGTTTTAGATGCCAGGTGAAAACATTTTTATTTGCCTGGGCTTTGCATCTCTGGATGACACCCGGGGACACTCTGAAGGTGTTTTATGGTATTTGTAGTTCCCGGATGGATTTTGCTCTCTGCATTTTTATGCTGGCATTTTATCAATATTGCTACACACTAATTTAACATTCTTATTGTCAACTGCTTTGAACCTATTTTACAGAAGAGTGGCAAAGAACATAATAAACAAACAGGCCGGACATTGCAACAAATACACCTGAACTAGCTGTGGGACCACTGCCTTCCTTAGCCAGTAACCAGTGTTCCCTCTAAGCTGAGTTAGTGTGAGCTAGCTCACAGTTTTTCAGCCTCTGGCTCACACATTTTTGTCTTAGCTCAGGGAAGATGGCTCCAGAGCCAACTAATTGATGCAGTAGACAAATCGCTTGCTCACAGCTTTAATGCCAGTGGCTCACAAAGCAGAATAATTGCTCACAAGACTCCACAGCTTAGAGGGAACATTGCCAGTAATCTAAAATGGAAGGTGCCGACGGAAATCCAACTGCTCTGGAGGATCGAAGGGGTGCCCTCCTAGTTTACAGCAACTGAAACCTGCGTCTGCACGTGAAAGCAGGGGAACGTGATGGCTGAGAGTAACTACTGGATGGGTGCAGGCAGCCACCCTAGCAACGCCTCTGCCCTGCTCACCTGTTTCACAGCCAGAGAAACCATAGCGACCCATAGTTACAAGTGCACCCATTAACCCGGCCAGACAGGAACCCACCGCCACCTTCCACAGGAGGATCTTCTAATACCATTTACTGGCTGAGAGAGTCAGGGCCGGCCCCGGCTTATTTTGCACCCTAGGCGAGGATCCCTTCTGGCACACACTCCCCCCC